TGCAGTGATTTGCCAGAGCATTAAAAAATAATAATTATATTAAAAACATTGACATATTACTTGGTTAATGATTTCTTACTTGCTTTTCAGGATATATATTGGAAAGCGCCTAACAGCTCATCACACCTACTAAAGAGGGTGGTGGTGTTTGGACATCTGTRTACAACGTGGCATGCCTTAAAATGGGACCTTCTGAAGACTGAGGRAGACGTGATGTGCAGTTTTGACTGAGCGCCCCCACATCGGCAAAGAGAGTTCAAGATTTCTCTTTGCCGCGTTAATGCCTCTGAACTCATCAGCGACCAATCCACTGCTCCTTGCTGTAGTTCCTGTCCCTGGAGGTTTCTGTTTTGCTGCTTTAAAGCTGAATTGCAGTTTGCTTTCATCGATTCACCATGCTATTGATTGAATTCAAATCAGACTTGATTTTTTTTCCTTTGAACAATGAAACAAGGGAATTTGTGTGCAATTGCAAGGAATCACCTGCTTAAGAGTGCGAGCACGTCCGATGACTGCACACTTGTATGTTAGTAAATTGTGACTCCGTGTAAACCAAATGTTWGCTTGATTAGCACTAATTTGGTTAATTTATTCAGGAGAAACACTGATGACCCAGATTGATGTAAAAATTAGGAAAAGTGGACTTCTAATAAATGGAAAGGAAAAAGATGCAGATGAACACAATTAAAATTTTATTGAACTTTGGTCAAAAATAAACAAGTGAATACATTGCCACCATGTTAGGAATCAATGGACAAAGACAATGCATTATTATGTGTTTTTAATGTCGTTAAATGTTTTGTGTAGTTAACCTTCGTTTCTGCATTCACAACTACAAAGATAAGATCCACATTTGTGATATGCGGTTCAAATTCGGGTGGTGTCCCTAATAAATGGAAGAAAGGAAAAAAAAAGGGCACATGGATGAGGCCTGTCTTTATTTCCTACTCATTACAAGATTTGGAGGCACTCAATTATTACATAAAACTGTATGTGTGGTGTGCAATTATCCCCAGTCGTGTGTTTTCCTAGACAGCCACAGATRGCAGCAGTGTTTGAGGACATGAGTCTATAAAATAGGATTTACAAATAATGCACATGAGGTTCGCTGAATGTTTGGGGACAAAACTTGTAGCTGTCACTGATAAAAGTAGGTATTAAGGCTGCAGATTCCCTTTGTCCTGGACTCAGTCTTGTTGCCTTCCAGTTTCCAGCCTGCATCCTAAAACATCGTCAACTTTAATCGCTGCTCGTTGACTTTCATGGTTCCCAATGGTGGCTCTCAAACTCACTGCCCCAAATTGTATCTCCTTGAGAAATTTGCTCGAGATCTGCTCAAAAGACAGTGGTGTGATTCAACAGTTTTTTTTCACCTCTCTAAAACATAAAAACATGCAAAGCAATAAACATGTTTTAATACCATACTTCTAAAATTTAAAAACACATCTGTAGTTTCTGTAGTTTTAGTTTCTTTTATTATGTGGATGACAAGGTGTACTTGAGTAGATACAGTCAGTGAAATGATGTCACTGTATTAAATGGGGTAAAATAAGAGAAGGGAAGGAAGAGAAACAAGTCCCACTTGCCAAACTCATGGCCGCCTCCACCATTAGTTTGACCTGAATACAAGACCAAATGGGGGAATGTTACACTTGGGCTTATTGGCCATTAATCCGTGCTTCACAGGACCCAAAAATCTCTGAAAGATGGATACAACCTTGACAAGACGTCATTGTACGGACTTCCGAGAGTTCTGTTGTTAAATCGTGAAATGAAGGCTTAAAATGTCAACACAAACACCAACGTTCAAGAGTTTGACCTCTAGGGAGTGCCATTCCATCAATTAGACCCGAATTGGGCTTTCTGGGTCAGGGGGCGTGTTGATTGCCCTGGTGCCAAAGGCAAAAAACAACCTAAGCTCATACTCAAAAATAAAACAGGCCTATGGATCAACCTCCTGTGGCAAAAAAAGTAGACACGTGCTTTCGAATTCTTCACCAGGAGGACAACAAGGCTGTTTCTTCTTATACAGATAGACAAGTAGTAGGCTTAACTACACAGGTATGGTAAAAGCCCTATCCTCTGGAGCCCCAAATCTTTTAGTTGATTTTGTCCTGGAAAATGTACAAGTTGTTGGTGGCTGCCACAGCTATCACGTTATCTTTGGGGTGCCAGGCAGTGTGAAGGATTTTCTTGTTGAAGTCCAGGCTGTCCACGCTGATCTCATCCTTCTTCCGCTTGCCACCGGTGGACACTTTACGAGGTTTGAGCGTAGCCCGTGGTTTGCTGCTCTCCCGGGACGCCTCCAGTGTGATGTCCCGCCTGGTGTTGCGGTCGAACATTCGGAAGAAGTTGTTGTAGGAGCCGGTCATGATGGCACTTAYGGAGAAAGAAAAACAAAAAACAATTGATCATCTAACCTGGCTTGCCATAAAATAGAAAAAAATAAATGACTGAGGCCGAAAGACAGAGTTCGATTGAGAAACAGACGATGTGGCAGAAGAGAAATGTTATCCTATCCAACAACAAAGACATTTACCTGTCACTGCCATTCCAGCAGCACTCAAACTTGTCAAAGATGCAGTCGTTTTCATACAAAGAGCAGAGTTTACTGCGAAGATATTCATGGACCTGGAACAACACAAAGCCATGATTAAAGTGAATTATACCGGCTTCGCACAAGACATCTAGAAACATTACAAGGATTTAAGACAAGATTTCTTATCCTGACAAAAAACGGGGTCAGTTTATGCACCTGATACGTCTCCACTGGCCTGTTCTCCATGTTGAGGTCCCACACTTTGACTGAGAGGTAATCCCGTGTCATCATATAGCGTCCACTGTGACTGAACTTCACGTCCGAGATGGAGGAGATGATCTCCGAGAAAAAGGATCGGCTGCTTGGATCCTCAGGTTCCTCAAAGACTAAAAAAGAAAACAATAAACCCTGAGATTATTTAAGGGTAATCCTACTTTATTTGCCAAAAGTAAATGAGATTATCTAAATATTTCATTTTCAGTATTTCGAAGAATATTTTAGCGAAGAATGCAAAAGGACAGTGGTGCTTACACTTCGAGTGCCTATCGCAGAGTGCCGCTGCTCGCATGTCACACAGGCGAATGGTGCCTTTGCTACTGCTGTACACAAATACATTGCATTGGTGTGGATGGCACTCAGCAGCTGTGATTACTTCTGTCAGTTCCTCCATGTTGGCGGGCTTGATGTCTACAATATCTGTAAACACACTGTTAAGGAAATTGCCATCTTATGTTTTCGCAAAAATACGAAGCACAAACTCTGCACCGCACAATCAAAATCTACTTTTTTGACCATGAAAAGGATACTAAAACTTCTGTCTGTGATTTCCAAGTGCCATAGATTTATTCTTAGGTCATCTGCAGAGAGGTAAGTTTCATGATCACTATTTACAGAAATGGAATTAATGTGATAGGTGTGCGCATTTGCAAAGATCCTCCGAGGGCTTGCTTCTACCATGAGATCCATTGGCATCAGTACAGGTACCTGGAACGTGACAAAASACGAGCTTTTAAATGTTTGCAACGCTTTTGTGTTTAAAAAAAGTCAAACGAATCGCAATTGTGGTTAAACATACCCGTAAAGAGGTGATTCTAAAGGGATCTCTGAGCCGCCCATCTTCATCTTTCAGGTTGTAACCTTCTGCTCGTTTATCTCTTTCACTTATTTTCCACAATTTGATAGTTTTATCTGACAACAAGCGAGGTTAACAGGTAAACTTGGGTTGCCAATTTTACTGTCTTTGTCAACACAAAAATAAATAAAACTCTTACCATTTGTTGAAAGTAGAAAGTGAGCAGCATTTTGTTGGGGTAGCCATCTTATTTTATTAATTTTTTCCTCGATTTCTAAACTTTTCAAATAGTCGAATTCTGGCTCGTGACTCTGAAAAGTGCTATAGACGTTATATTCTCCACGCAGGTGCGGACGATTCTTAGACTGAAACAAACAATAACAGAGAATAACAGAAACAGAATAAGTATGAGTCACCAAGGAGAAACATTTGTACACAGCTCACTTCTGATATAATGCACTTCATTCTGTTTGTCATCACGGATGAATCTTACCTCCTGCTCATGTTGAAATATCACTACTCGTCCACCTTTGTCTCCAGTTGCAAGTAATTCTCCAGAATAGTTGAACTCAACAGTTGAGATTATGTCAGCTGGAAAAAGACAACACAGTAAAACCAAAATGAATAGATCATGGCAGATTAATGACTGCAGACTAAGGAAAATGCATTTTTCATAAACCAAAATGGACTATCTGGAATTTAAACAATCAACAATACCAATTTGGCTAGCAATAATCTGCTTTTTTTAATCTAAAACATTCTTTTAACTAGCTATAATACACTTAACACAAAAATACACTGATGGAGATATTTGAAAGACCAGATTGTTGTTGCTGAAACAAAGATCTGTATGCTGGCCTGTTTGAATAGCATTTGCTAAAGCAGAAACAGAAGTGCTGCTGTGGACACTGTAGCTTTCAAATGCCATGAAAAAGAGTTTCTTTATATATTTTTTATATTTCCTATTGACAGCTAAAGATGACTCACACCTCCACTCGCTGTAGCTTAGGCCACACCAACAATCCCACCATTTTCCACATATTTTCACCAGACCCAACATCAGTTTAAAGCTACACACCACATCATTTTACATACATGCATTATTCGATGACAAAAAGAGCATTATTCTCACCAGACAAAGCTGAGTTTCTCAGCTATTGAAAAGGAAATGTAAAATCTTTGAATTCAACTGCATATACACATCTGGATTTACAACTAGTAATAATTTACTGCATAACTTAGAGACAATTTTGACACCATAAGACTCTTTTATATACATTTTCCCACCATTCTTTGTTCTGATTAGTCTGTTTAGTTTCTTCAATAACCCAAAATATATAGTTTTTTTTTTTACTTTCATAGTTTTTTTAACATGGCCTAAATGACTAAAAATAACTATTATGCATAAATAAAAAAAAAATGCACATTGTGTATCCAGGATACACTGTATAAAAATCTGAACCCCAGTTTAAGGAACTGGGAACATTTTTTATCAGCTCCATTGGTTTGGTTTGTTTTTCAAATGCTATTCTGTATAATTACATGCAGTGAGTAAATTGCAAAAATCACAATATCCATTGAATAACCACAAAATATCCTAAACAGAGAATAAAAATGAAGCTACAACTAAGGCATTCCTGCCAGAGGAAAAGACTGCACAAGTGCCATCAGGTAATTAACAAGAACGCRGGGAAACTGCATACATATAAATAACATTACTGTTGTATTAATTCATTATAACATTAAAGGTCCAATATGTAACATACACAACAAGGTACATATTCAGTGTGCCACTGAATATGTACTAGGTATACTACTGTTTGCATAGCAAAAATGAATTAATAACATGAGCCACACAAACATTATTTTCTTCCATATTTAGTTGGTTGCAAATTGTTAAACCCCTTCCACTAAATAGCAACTAAATGTAACAATTAATAGTGAAAGAAAATCTTCTAAAATGGATTTGTGTGTGTGTCTAATTCACAACGATATCTTTAGCTATTTAGAATCCCATTTTTCATTCTTCCTAGAACAAAGGTTGATAAGCGATGTCACTTTTGCTATTTATTGTGCTTTCAGCAGCAGACGACCTAAACTTTTAATCGTTATGAGTCTTAAGTTTAATTTTACACAACAAAAAGGAAAACTACCACTACTACAACTAAAGTACTGCAGGAAATTCTTTGAATGTTACCTCCAAAATTAATACTCAGATAACTACAATACTCATATATGTATAGAACAATTGAACACGTCACTTTTTTTCTCAGTAAATATATTACTAGAGGTGCTAATGACATGAAATTTTCACCAGATGTTGGTAACAACCATACATACAAAGAAATCAAACCATAAATGTCCAGAAATTAAGTTATTTGTAATAATGTGGAATGGCACAGGGRAAAAGTATTGAACACACTTACTGAAATTTATCTAATACTTTGTACAAAAGCCTTTGTTGTCAATGACAGCTTCAAGATGCCTCCTGTATGGAGAAACTAGTGGCATGCATTGCTCAGGWGTGATTTTGGCCCATTCTTCCACAAACAGTCTTCAAATCTTGAAGGTTTCGTGGACCTCTTCTATGAACTCTGATCTTTAGTTCTTTCCATAGATTTTCTGTTGGATGCAGGTCAGGTGATTGGCTGGGCCATTCCAGCAGCTTTAGTTTCTTCCTCTGAAACCAACTGAGAGTTTCCTTGACTTTGTGTTTGGGCTCATTGTCTTGCTGAAATGTCCAGCCACGTTTCATCTTCATCATCCTGGTAGATGGAAGCAGATTTTTATCAAGAATGTCTCTGTACATTTTTCCACTCATCCTTCCTTCAATTATTTGAAGTTTGCCAGTACCATATGCTGAAAAACAGCCCCACACCATGATGTTCCCACCTCCAAACTTCACTGTTGGTATGGTGTTTTTGGGCTGATGTGCAGTGCCATTTGACCTCCAAACATGATGTGTATTCTGGCATCCAAACAGTTCAATGTTGGTCTCATCTGACCAGACTATATTCTCCCAGTATTACACAGGCTTGTTTAAATGTTGTGCAGCAAACTTTAAAGGAGCTTCAACATGCTGTTTCTTCAGCAGTGGAGTCTTGCGTGGTGAGCGTGCATACAGGCCATGGTGGTTCAGTGCATTACTTGTTGTTTTCTTTGAAACAAACGTACCTGCTAATTCCAGGTCTTTCTGAAGCTCTCCACAAGTGGTCCTTGGCTCTTGGACAACTCTTCTGATAATTCTTTTCACTCCTCTGTCAGAAATCTTGTGAGGAGCACCTGGTCGTGGTYRGTTTATGGTGAAATAATGTTCTTTCCACTTCTGAATTATGGCCCCAACAGTGCTCACTGGAACCTTCAGAAGTTTAGACATTCTTCTGTAACCGATGCCATCATTATGCTTTGCAACAACAAGGTTGTGAAGGTCTTGAGAGAGCTCTTTACTTTTACCCATCATCAGATGGTTCTTGTGTGATACCTGGCCATCAWTTGGGACTGAACCAGCTGATWTTAACTTGCACTGACAAGGGGCAGGCTTGCTTTCTAATTACTGAGAGAGTTCAGCTGGTGTCTTGGCTTTCCATGCCTTTTTACACCTCCCTTTCTTCACGTGTTCAATACTTTTCCCTGTGCCATTCCACATTATTACAAATAACTTCATTTCTGGAAATTTATGGTTTGATTTCTTTGTATGTATGGATCACTTGGGTTGTTACCGACATCTGGTGAAAATTTCATGTCATTAGCACCTCTAGTAATATATTTACTGAGAAAAATGGTGACGTGTTCAATACTTATTTTACCCRCTGTATCTGGATAAAATGATTCTAACAGCTCTCTGGGGTTTACACCGAGGGACCTATAGGACATCACATTAGTATGGACTGCTGCATTTGTTTGCATGTATGCATGTATGTATGTGTGTGTGTATATATATATATATATATATAAAAGCAAGCAATTTATTGAAATATTTAGGGCAAGTGCTTTTTAATTAATTTTTTTACACAAAATGGAGGTAATTAAAATGACAAAACTTGAAATAGTTAAAAAGTAGTGAGCATGTTTGTTTGAAGACATGTTTAGTTTAAATTACAATAGTTTTAGAATCTTTTAGAATTGGAACATTATTATTAACACTGAAGTCTAAAAGATAAACAGCAATTACATAAAGGAACCTGTATTGATTATATGTTACAACGGCTTGCCATACCAGGAATGACTAGTGAAATTGTGCTTTTCTGAAGAAACAAGAAGCAATGGAGTTTTACGGATCTGCAAAGGACGTTCAAGCTTAAAAAAGCCTGACCTTGTTAGCTTTTTAGGCTCAACATGTTTGAACGCAAACCTCCATGATGTCACGCTACAATTTATAGACGTAGCAGATTGACGTCATGGCCACACAGTCGCTCCCCTTTTTAATAGTTTAGCTACTTACCTAGCATGCAGCTAATTTACAACGTAAGGGCGTTTGCGCCATTGCTTCGCGAAAAAAAAAAAAAAAAAAACTCGCACCGAACACGACACTTGCCTTTTACTAAAACCCGTGCATCCATGTATCGTTACCCCGTAAAACCCACAGAGCACCCCCCATCACCATCAGCAGTCGTTTTAGCTTTAGCCGCCGAGCTAGCGTTAGCCACATACCTTCCGCAACATCTTCATCTATCGCTCCTTTCACTTGGGAGAAACACCACTGAAAATCATTTCCTCCTGCAACTCCTGCGAAAAGAACACAGCGTTAGCTCGGCTCTGTCTCACTCCTTCCTCGACGAAGCGGCCTGACAGTGACACAGTTTGACAACTTAGCTCCGCAGAGCTAATGTCGCCTGGCTAACTTGCAGATTCAGGCCATCACACACAACCAAGAAGAGAGAAAGGTGGATCCTTTCCCCCTCTCTTCCACAAACTCTCTTACCCGCCATTGCTTCATTTAGCAGCTCTTGTTGCACACAGCTTCCGACGCCCAGTCAAAACAATGCGGCTTGCTTGGGGGGAAATAGAAAGCATCCACAATCAGTGTGAAGACTCGGCTTCAGATCTGTCAAGACCACGGAAATTATCCGTGATTTTTTTTTTCTCTTTCCAAAATGGCGCACAGTACATGGAGAAATGACGTCATGCACACATGCCACATCCTGGCTCCATCCATCTAAGCCTTTCATTCTCCTATGCATCACTTTCCACAACACTTATATTTTATTTCAATTTTTTTCCACGCGCTTCCCTTTATTTCACTGATTTGCATGGTAACGCATGCTATTCACGTCTTGTTTTAAAGACAGCACCGCATTTCTCTGATGAATGTCACAAATACTCCTCTCACAGCACGCCTCTTGTGATTTAATTCAGATTAAAAAGAATACAATTCAAAGAAACAGCCAACAAAACATAATATTTAATTTCTGACAATGTAGTCACAAGGAAAATGTCTTTCATTTTGTTTCTAGCACTGGTTGAGTAGATGAAATAAATCTGTTTTTATTATSCTTCATTTAGACTATAATAAATGTAAATTATTTCGCAAAATGTTAAATATTAGGTGTCACTTTTGAGAAATATACTACAGAAATATTTGACAGAACTGGGTGCCCCTGGTTTTATTCCACARTCAAATGGCGACATCTAGTGGTCAAAATATAGAACAGCAGTTTCGCGAGTTTGAAATTGGTCGTGTCTGCGAAACAAAAAAAGGTTTGGGTTTTAAACAATGGTTTAATGGTTTATAAAATACGAATAATGAAATTTAAGCTAAAACGTTTAAGTTACTTTGAATTTCAATGGAAAGTAATTATTTGTTGAAAGGGTAGCATGCCACACAAATTACATAAAAAATGACATGAGATATTACATAAACTTCCTTATCATGTCCAAATTAATATTGAAGATAACTGAACATTTCTTAGGCAGTTTTGCAAGAATAAAAACTGACCCAAAATGTTCGAGTTCAGAGTAGGACTGAGATTGCACATCTCTACAGCTGATTAAGCACATTTATGGAATATTTTACCCTCATACTTTAACATCGTTAGGCTTGATTGGCCTTGCAAAGTACATTTTATCACTGTGGGTTTTGGCCGAGACATTAAACTCAGGGGTGTTCTCTGTGYGGATGATCTCCAAAGAATTTGGTGCCTTTCTTTAATGCTCTTACATTTTCTTTAAAATAAGCGTTCTTTCCTAGTTGTTGTCCACTTAATTYCCCTGACTCTTACACACTAGTTTTATAAAGAACAATCTGGGTCAAGTCAGAAGGTTAAAGTTAAATTTAGAGTTGAGTTTGGTCAATATTTCTGTATTGGTGTTTTTTTTTTATTTAAATTTTTTTTGTCAAGTGCAGAAAAAAAACATTTTTAGTGGCTGAAAAAAGGTCCTCTCAAATCCGAAGTTTGGCAGCCCTTAAACTAAAGAAAACATGTCTGAGCAATAGGTGATGTGTGTTATTCTTGAAAAGACCGACTATTCAATCTGCCAACTAGCATTTTCACCACATTTTTTTTAGTTTCCCATTGAGGAGTGATTTTTTTTTTACTGATTGAAAAAAAAATATTCAGATGTCATGCTGAGAATAAATGCATTCTGTATGTTTATCTTGCAAGCATACTCTCACCATTGTGGTACAAAAAAAAAGAAAAATATATACACACACAGAAACAGATGTTCAAGCTGTGCTGTTCATTTTTAGTTATTTCTCTCTGTGAAGTACTCTCTGTAGAGTGAGTGCTGTCATGAATTGGGAATAAAAAAGATTGCCCATTGGGGTTGATTGTGCTATAAAAAAGTCACATCCTAAAAAATACGAGGGAGAAAAATGCTCATGGRGCGTGGGAATATGCGATATCTGGGCCATGTTTGAGCGGATAAAATAGAATAAGCACATTTGTTCCTTTGAGTGCACTAGCTAAAAGAAACATTTATGTGCATATTAATATATAAAATCTGCTGAAAAGTGAAATAAGGTGCTTTGCTTGCCTAATGTTTGTTTTTTTTTCTCTTGAAGCCACTCAAAAAGGAAACCCCCAAGAAAAGTTTGTCACTAACAAAATGTTTAATTTTTGCACTTTATTATTTTTTTTTCTCTTTAGGATTTTCCTCTGTAATGGTGATCAGGATTTTGAAGTGTTACACAGGAACCATGCTGTGGCTCTACTTTCTCTTGTGTGTTTTCTGTAACTGCGCTTTGTCCTGCAGGGGTGTCAAAGGCAATGAATAGGAGTGCAGCCCAAAAAGACCTGGACCAAACTTGACCAAAAACTTTCTCTCCAGTATCTCCCGAGCTAGACGAATCCTTCTCATCAATCAGAGTTCCTCCCATGGGAAGAAGCAGAGCCAGGGCCTGGAGGTTAGGCACACACACACACACAGACACACACACACACAGAACTAAAGAGAAGAAAAAAAAACAACTGCAGGATGTAACGAGTGGAAATCGTGCATTGGAAAAGTGTCTTTAAGCAYGCCATGTCTTCACTTTTACATTCATGCTTGCGCCCAACTTGTTTTGTTATAAATGTGGGAAGTTTAACTTCAGCAGATGGCTCGCTCCAAATGGAGCTGAACCACTGTTGTTTTGAGAACGTGAGCCTCTAAGACACTYCTGACTTCCCTGCACACATATGGCTTTTGTGTTTTGATAGCTTCCACCTCTGGCTGAAAGTAACACATCTTGATTTAAAAGGATAAGGCCTACATGCTGCGCCAGTGGTAAAAATCAAAATAGAAAGTGCTGCCTTTTTTAAGGAGTTTTTTTTTTATTTGGAAACACTCATCTTCTAAATGTATTGTTTCAAAAAAAAACCCTGCCCCGATTGCATAATTCACATCAAAAGAGGCTGTTTCTCCTCACTTACTGAAGATAAAATGTTTGAATGAAGCCCAATTTGCGGTTTAACAAACTGCACAGCTTAATTGTAGTGTGCTTTAGATGTTTTTTATTTTTATTTTTTTGCTCCCCCTCCACAAGTTTAGTGTTTTGGCTGTGTGTGTGCTGCAGCTTCATCAGGTATAAGGAGAGGTGTTGACTTTATTCCGAGCCTCCAGTAACACCACTGACTCTGATAGTTCCCCATCCCTGTGGGAATTCATTATAAGACAGCTAGAGGCTGCTTGTGGATGGTTACTGTGCTGCCCGTATGTTAACTTGTCGCTATCGCGCAAGGCAAACATGTGGTGCAGCTGCTTTCTCTGGCTGTGGGCAACCTGGAGAGATTGATTGGTGAGCCTTCTGTTTTATCCAGGATCAGGGCCACATTCAGTAGACAACGGTGCCTCCGGAGAAGCAGCCATTTTCCCCAGAAAATATGGCTCATTACCAGCACAGACAAAATGAAGGTATATTGACTTTTTTTTTTTTTTTTTAGTTTGAACATCTTACAAACACACCTATTCCTGGACCGTTTAACAACCGGCGTTCGTTATCCTGGAAATCTTTCCTTCAATGTGTTCCTCAACACAAACCGGTTTCAACATCACCTAACTTTCTTTAAAAAAAAAAATCAGATACAGCCATTGCCCTCAATTATTTTGGAGGGAATTAACACTTTTATTTACACCCAACACACACTCACACACCTCCCCCCCCTTCAGACAGTCTTTAGCACAAACCATTGGCCGATGGTTGTGTCTGCCCCGCTCAGGGGCAGGAGCTCTGTCCAGGCCCTCGGTCTTTACTCTTTCTCTCTCTCACACACACACACTCACACACAAACAGCAAAGACAAACACAATCAATTATTCAACACTCTTGTTTTGGCTTCTGTTTTTTTCCCTGTTATTTTTATGCTGTAGCTCCTGTAGCATCTTCTGGTAACCCAACAGCCAGGAGGCCCAGATGAGTGAGAGATGAGGCCTTCATGATCACTGGAGGTCTAAGCATGTTTTTGTAATTTAGATGGCAGAGTGTGATTTGCATGCACATTTTTTTTTTTTCTGGAGGAGATTATCCTTGAGGCTCGCCACAACTGAGGGGCTGGTCTAAAACCTGGCGTGGAAGGCAAAAAAACCCTTTGTCTCCTTGTGTGCTGTTCCTCGCGAGTTATAAACATATATGTATAAATTTATATATTCATTTTGGTGCGGTTATTTATTTCTGTTGGCTTCTATTTCTCACATCCACCATGCTTTCATGGAACACTCAGTTTTCCTGCACAGGGACTTGTCCTGTGTCTGTGTGCAAAGCTGTGCACTAGATGGCACTACGACACTTATTATTCAGCACCAGTAGGCGATTTCCATATTATAAAGGCCTGTGTTGCTGACACAAGTCATGATCACAGTGTGTTTTTCTCTGAGCTGCTGTTGGATGAAAATCTTCAAAAAAAATGAAATAAATAAATAATAATAATGAACAATGAAGAGTTTTGACCTGAAACTAAAGCAAGCATTTTAGAGTCAATATCATGTAAAATATATTTAAATTTAGGTGAAATCATTACATTTTGTCAGCTTACTGCATGYCCCTTTTTAAAGGCTTTACTGAACATTAACGAGCACACTTTTACGAATCAGTGAAAACAGAAAAGGAATCACATTTCTGGGTGGTATTAGCGGTGAATCCTTTGCAGCGATGCTGTCCTTGTAACAGATCATATTGTAAATAAGATGGGTTAAATTGCACTTGTAGCTTYCCTTCAAACAGTCAGGCATTCTTTTTCTCAGGGGGGACGGCAGAGTGCTGCCGACTCTTCCTCTAATAAAGCTAGACAATGAGATCCTAGCTCATAACATAGGCCTCCTCTATATAGAACAAGTAGTGGGGGCTTAGCAGCTAATAAAGTGGCAAGTCTTCAAATCCATGTCAGAGGAGCAGAGTGCCACAGGGACCTTTCATAACACTTGTATGTGCAGGTTCTAGTGCAGTGTAAAGGTTACACATCCGCGTTGTACTGATCTAACCTGATGAATTGCCTTAAGCCTCACAAATTTCAAGGCTGTGTTTCTTATTTAAAGAAAAAGGCAGAACTGAATAATTCTCCCTCCTTCTGAAGGATGTCAGGCAAAGAAACGAGCGTGGAATGAAATGTTTGGGATTCAGAAAGGAAAATCTGGTTCTTCTTATCGAATGTGACAAATGTAAAAAAAAATC